CCCCAGACATTGGTGTTTGATCTATTATAATAGAGAAGAATAGAAGGGGTGGAGGCTCATGTGGAGTTTAAACAAGTATCTTTCTACGTAATTCTGTGAAACTGTGAAACAGCGCTGGGACGTCCTCCCGACATGAAAGGCACTCTATATATATAATTTTGTTGTTGTTGTTCCAGCTCCACACATTCCAGTCAATGGGAAAATATTTTTGTAAGAGACCACTTAGTTTGCATATAATTTGATTGCTCAATGGCCAATGTGCTTCCTCCTTAATAGTCAACAAATTAGTCATTTTTTCCCGATCTGTAAACTCTGACACATTAAATAAATGATAAGGATTTTAAATCCAATAGAAAATATTTGATTCAGACTGTTGCAAGAACCTAGTTATAAATTAACGTGTTCAGAATTATCCTTCTAGAATTTTCACTTTAACACAAAGAGTTCTCAGCTCTAATAAAAGATAGGAGGCAGCCAGTAACAATAATCGCTTTAAGATAGCCACAAGAACTGCCAAAGGAGAACTTTGGAGGAAATGTTTCACCCAGATGGTAGTTGTGATTCTGTTGAGTTGGGTGGTGGAGGCAGAATCCATTGTAGCTTTCAAGAGGGAAGTAGACAGGCATATGAAAGAAGCCTGAAGGGGTACAGGGATAAGGTGGTTGAATTGATCTCCTTGCTCTGTGAGACAGTGTGGACTTGATGGCTGAATGGCCGTCATCCCTCTCCACCTTTAAAGCCTGCCTTAAGATCTTTCTATTTAACCACACTTTTTGTCATTTTTTCTCCTGTCCTGCTCACCTCACCCACAGCTTTCAGACAGCTCTGGGAAGTGCTTTGATGCAGTGATGGGGGCGGTAGGGGGAGTGTTCTGGAGGGATGAGATTGAATGGGTCAAAGGGCCTTCTTCATTCAGACCAATGTTGTGATTGTTTCAATCTTCCTTGCCACATTGGAAAGAATGTTTCAGATGAACTACCCTGTATTGTGCAATTGTTGTTTAGGGATTAGATTTCAGCTATGTTTTTCATGTTGCTAATGAACAAACGTAACCAAATCAACCCTTTGCGTTTTTTTTCATTTGTGTAATACAAATGAATACATAACCCTTCTGGTTTTACTATTTAGTTGTATAACTATACAGTTTACAAATTACAGTCACTCACTTTGAGGTAAATCCTGTGAAGCCCTTTGAGGGATCAGCCTGACATGAAAGGTCATATGAAAAAGGCAAGTCCTCTTAATAGTTCATGGTTTGCAGAGCTACATTAGCATTAAAGTATGACGCTATATACCAGGATTTGCTGCCATTTAAGAAAAAATGTCCTTTAAATAAAAAACTGTAGCATGCTTCCTAATAATCCAATTAAAATAATTAATTGCCATAGAAGTACATTTTTTCCAGACATGTAATTCCATTTCTATGTTGTAGGTCAAACCATCTGAAAAGGATGTTGTACCATTTATTGATGCCGACATGAAGTGCACTTCCATTTCAAATTATTCTTTAATGTTGACTCTGAAACGTTTGTGAAAGGTGCAATATAAATGGCAATTGTTTAACACTGCGTGTTTGCTGATAATACGACTCCTGCTATTGCAGATGTACAATATGATCAAATATTGATTTGGTTTGAGTCTCCATGGCCTGACTTTTTTGTCACTATTGGTGTTGCAATGTTTGGGTTTCTAGTTTGTTTCATATATGTGTGGAACCTGCGATATCTTCACAAAAGCAGTACGTTAGTGACTTATGTTCCATACATGCAGGGGCCTTGAGATAATAAACAAGTGGTGAGATCTGTTATGTAAATATGGTGTATCCGTGTTTTGTAAAATGATATCTCCTGACCTTTCCTCCACGTCACTGCTCAAGGGGATTTTACTATGTGATGTTCTTGCTTTTGCTGCATTTTATTTACAAAATACAGTCACCACACTTTACAGTATATCCTGTAAAGTGCTTTGAAACATCCTTCTGATTGGAAAGGAGCTATATCAAATGCAGCCCACTATCTCATAAGTTCCACATGAGCTTGTGTGATGGTGCTATAAATTCCACAAGTGCACTGAAGAATTGGCACTACCTCTTGAATATCCTGATAGTGCCCCCAGCACTGTTTATGAAACAATAGAATGCACTTCCTCGACTCTAATTGCTACCATTGTTTCTGTACCAAGTACGTCTAGAGAATACTGGACAATGGATCAGAGTTGATTATATTGGCTTTTGAATTTCAACTGAGACAAACTGTATGGAAACTTTAGTTAAAGCCGTTCCTGACCAAAGATGCTATGGTTAGAAATATAACGAGAGGTACCTTTAAAAAGCTGGTAGGGGAATATAAAAGGAGTTCCAATTTGCATGTGACCTTGATAAACAGGAGATCATTCCATTTTACCAAACCATCATCCCTCAACTTTACCAGAATTACACTGATTGACTATTAAAGTGGCATCAGGTCTATGGAGAACTTCCATCTCTGTATGCAAGATTTTGAGTTCCTGCATTAACTGGAATTTTTTAAAATATTATAATACTAATATTGCAATATTCTACTCTCCCTGGCTGCTCCCTTCATTCCGTGAACACCTGCTCCATGTCCACTGTGCTATCCGCCCGACCATCATTAGGCAAACTCTTGGATATTCTGCTTCTGCTCGCTGGAACTCTATCCCGGAGTCCCGCTAATTCATCCTTCCCTCCCACTTTCAAAACTCACTTCGACCTATTCTTTGACTGCACTTTTGATCATCTTTCTCCTCCTCTCCAGTTACCCTTCACCCCTTTGTTCAGGTACCCAGACTGCAGTGCTAAACACTTTGAGAAAGACTCTCGACATGATATAAGTGTAAATTGTATTGTGCTCAGACATTGACATTAGCTATTGTTTTAATACTAAGCCAAACTCATTTAAATAATAATTTTGTATAATTGGAATCTTTTAAATTTTATTTGTCTTCTTCCGTCGTTGTTTCATTTTAGTTGTTCTGCGTTTTTTAAATGTTTCTTACCTATTCCAGCTTCCCTACCCATTCATAAAATGGGAGCAACTTTTCCTTATGCCACTTTATACTTGGTATAAGCATTGCACACTCTGGATAAACTGTGAGGTGTGTTTGTGGGTGGCACTGTTTTTGCTGCCACTCTTTAATTTCCTTCTGTAGCAGATTCCCAAGTGTGCAGATCCTGTCATGATGTACATTCACAATTTACTGATACTTGCGTACTGTTCATGCCTGAAACTCTGGAATACAATGAACTCAGCTTGCAATGACTTGTAGAGGTCTGCTAGCTGACATCAAGTCCTGCCACAGGCATCAGAAACAAGGCAGCTGTTGTTTAGTTGCAAATCCTTGGCTGAGTCATGTGTAAACTCATTAATAGCAAAAAAAACATTATGGACTGGTTTTGCAGTCACTTAAAAACACTGTCATAGAAACAGCTTACTCAATACGTGACTCAGATGATGAGTCCAGTTTGTTCAGCTTGAATATGATTTGTGCATCTGATTCCTGGGTAAATTTAGCTTTGTGACAAAAAAATACACATTGGTGGCGTGCTTTTTTTTGGGTCAGCCGGGTGTCTGACACATGCTGAAACCCATCACCGTGCTTAAGAGTATCCAAACCAAACTGAGAATTCCATGCATCCCACCTACACATGGAAATTCCAGAGATCGATTATTTGAATGGAATTCACACACTCCCTGGAGGGGTGCATCCTGCTCACCTAATTCCGGAACATTTTAGGTGCAGGTTGGCATGAATCGGGCTTGTTGTGCATTGGGGTACTGCTGGAGTCTCACCAGCTAAAACTGCATAGCTTGCCATTGTCTGGTGCTTGGGCTTTGGCTTTCAGGGTTAACAGGAGCTGAGTGTGAGGATTCCCCGCCCCCAGTGACTGGTCTGCCCTTATAGGTCCTAACAGGCTGGCTGTGCTTTTATCAGCACTGCGGACCCACCTGGCTCAGGAACAGAATTACGGAAGCTTGGCTCGATTCTGATATTCCATTGCTTAACATGTCACCTTGGAGCCAGTTGAGCTCAACAAGGAGGATAGCATGGCATGCAGTTTGTATACATTTAGAAATCTATGAAAAAGGTGTGGCTTTTCAAACTTTTCAAAATAAACTTATGAACAAGCAGTCAAAACTTTGACAAACAGAATCGTAATGACAGACTATAATATGAACCTTACTTATAATCATAAGGTACTGTAGGTTGGAATGTTTCCCACCCTTTTCTCTCAAGTACTCATGTATATATAATAGCTAATGAGTTTAAAGTGGTTATTGCACTTTTATACATCCTTCAAATTTTCGATTCACATTTAGAGTTGCTCTCAATGTTATCTGCTATAATCTTTGCATGGTAACCTAACATCAGCTTCCTGCTGTCTCTGGACTGACTGACAGTCAAGCTGATTCCAGTACCTTGTCTCCCTTTGTCAACAGTGAGTCAGTGATCTGAGAAATGTGATGAATGCTTCAGTGATTCTAGCTCCACAGATATTTGAAATAATCATGAGAAAAGAAAAACAACATGGTGTGTGTATGATTGGTATCCCTATTGTTACCGTACGTTTATTCAACAGGGTGGAAAATCTGAGGATGAGATTAGAGCTCATGGTGACCTCCCAACGTGAAAGGCGCTCTATAAATGGAATCTTGTTGTTGTTGTATTGTGGAGGGTACTGTTGGATTGGGTACATTTCTTACTTTCAAGGCCTCGCTTTTGGAAATTGTATTGTTGCCTTTAATGTTTGTTTAAAACATTGGGGAGAAACAAAGTGTAAATGAATTGAGTTTAAGTGCATTAGGAATTCTTCATAGAGCATAGCAAATGAGCAATGCTTTGATTCAATATGGGAGGAGTATGTTTGACAAGATTTATAGAGCAAAACAACTCTCTGAGACGATTGCTTAAAATGACTTTGTTTTCCCACAGCATGCGATTGGAATGGTCGCAGTAGACTAACACTCCAACATTTGTTTCAGAACCCATTGGATGTTGCTGAGGCTCTCTGCTTAATGAACGTCCACTACACGTGATGACTGCAAACTGGTGTATCTGCAGAAGCCTGTGACCCATGGAATGTACTACACTTCATTTGACTGGCTGAGTGTCTTTGAAAACCCTTCTCATTTTCAGAGAAGTAGAATTGGCTTCAAAAGTCGGACGGCAATCTAATTCTGAAAGCGTTCAAAGCCATCCCACCACCTCAGCTGTTTTCATCACATAACAAGCTGATTTAAACCGATTCAGATACGTAAGAATCTAACTCTTCTCTCACTTTTATAAAGAACCTCACTTTTTTAATTCACTCTATTAATTTCACTTTTTCTGAAATTCAGCAACTTGTCCAGTTTTGCTGTAAAGATGATTGACTTAAGTTACCTAACTGAAGAGGAGCAGGAGAAGATCATGAGTGTACTCCAGAGAGATGGAGATCTGAAGAGAGCAGAGGAGAAAAGAATTAGGTAAGATTACCTATTAAAATCTCTTTGTGGATTCGTACTCGATTTCTCTGCATTTCTGTAATGTTTTTGAATAAGAAGAGGGAGCAGGTTGGTTAATTTAGTGATTGCTACAAGTTACAGTTATTACCTGAGGAGACCGACACTATATCTGGAGAGATAAAACTTGATGGGTCTCATTAGTAACCTGGAATTGTCTTACCAGATATCCACCATACCTGGGCATGGTTATAGTTATGAAGTAACATTGTCAGGCAGAAGTAGACCATCGTTCTATCCTTCGCCCACAAAACAAAATGATTGAATGTTTTAATGTTTACTTCTACGGTGTGAATAAAACTGATTACGAATACTCAACTGCCATTAATGTAACCATTCCCTACAATGTCTATTCTGCGTTGGTATATTAGCAACAGAGAATTAGGACACAGGTATTTTTAAGTTATTAAATAGGGAATTAACAGTTGTGGCAGTGAAACGTGTGCTTTTTCACCACTGAACACCACAGAGTCCTGCAGCTTAGTGCTTAGAGCACTCAACAACAACAACACCTTGGATTTATATAGCGCCCTCCATGCTGGACAGCGTCTCAGAGCGCTTCGCAGTAACGGATCCCGGGGCTGAGCCAGGGGAAGGGGGGGAAGGTGACCAAAGGCATGGTCGAAAAGAAAGGTCTTCAGCAGAGACCTGAAAATAGGAAGAGAGGGAGCGAAGCAAAGGGAGTGAGGAAGGGAATTCCAAAGCCTCGGGGCATAGTGGCTAAAAGCACGGCCGCCGAGGTGGAGCGGAGGACTCAGAGAACAAGGAGGAGGCCAGACCCGGAGGAACGAAGGCAATGTTAAGGAGAGAGGAGGTCAAAGAGCTAAGGGGGTGCAGAGGAGCGGAGGGATTTGAAGACAAGGGTGAGGATCTTGAAGTCGATCCTCTCTGGGATAGGCAGCCAGTGCAGTCTGGCAAGGACTGGGGTGATCGGGGAGCGGAGTTTGGTGCGGGTGAAAATGTGGGCGGCAGAGTTTTGAATAATCTGGATTTTGTGGATGATAGTGGAGGGGAGGCCGGCGAGGAGGGTGTTAGAGTAGTCCAGCCGAGAGGTAACAAAGGCATGGACCAGGGTTTCAGCGGCTTTTGGAGTGAGGTATTGGCGGAGATGGGCGATGCGTCGGAGGTGGAAGAAAGTGATGCAGGTGAGGGACCGGATGTGGGGGAGGAAGGATAATTGGGGGTTGAACCGGATGTCTAGGTTGGTACGGGTTCGGAGAGTTTTAGGTGGAGGTCGGGTAGGTGGAGGAGGTGAGAACCATGAAATTTTAGATGTTGACGAGAGCCAAAGAGTATGGCTTCTGTCTTGTCAACGTTCAGCTGAAGGAAATTTGCGCTCATCCAGCTCCTGGCGTCTGACAGGCAGGCTGACAGAACATCAGGGGACTGGGGGTCGCAAAGAGAGGTGGAAAAATAGAGTCGGGTGTCATCTGAATACATGTGGAAATGTACCCCATGTCTGCGGATGACATCCCCAAGAGGGAGCATGTAGATCAGAAAGAGGAGTGGGCCAAGGATGGGGGAGAATCTTGGGGTACCCCGCAGGTAACTGGGTGAGAGCGGGAGGAGAAGCTGTTGGTGCAGATGTTCTGCTGGTGGTTTGTGAGGTAGGACTCAAACCAGGCGAGTGCGGTCCCACTGATAGATTAAAGGCAGTGGAGGAGTATGGCGTGATCGACTGTCGAATGCGGCGGAGAGGTCCATGAGGACAAGGAGACAGAGGAAGCCCTGGTCACAGATAGAGAGGATGTGATTTGTGACTTTCACAAGCGCAGTCTCTGTACTGTGGGCAGGACGGAAACCGGATTGGAGGAGTTCGAAGAGGGAGTGGGAGGAGAGATGTGCGAGAAGTTGATTGGCAACAATGTGTTCTGGGACTTTTGCGAGGAAGGGCAGGTTAGAAATAGGACGGTAGTGGCTGGGGTTTGAGGGATCCAGGGAAGGTTTTTTGAGGAGGGGGGTGAAGACAGCAGTTTTGAGGGGGACAGGGACTGGTTGATGACATCAGCCAGTAGTGGGCAGAGGAGGGGGAGCTGGGTGACCAGCAAGTTGGTGGGGAGGGGGTCGAGGCAGCAGGTGGTGGGTTTCATGGAGGTGATGGTGGGTGAGAGGGAGGAGGGATAGATGGGGAGGAAGGCACGTAGGATGGGGGGTGGTGGTTCGGAGCAGATGATGTGGAGGGTGAGGAGTTCAGAGAGGGTGTGGTGGTGGGTGACAAGAGGTAGGTGATGAGGCTGCCTGGCGGATGTTAGGTATTTTAAAAGAGAAGAAGTCCATGACCTGCTCGCACTTGGCATTTGATATGAAGATTGAGGAGGCCTGAGGTGGTCACGGAGGAGGATTTTAGGGTTGCGTTTAGCCTCCAAGATGATGTTGGAGTAGAAGGCCGTTTTTATGCGTGTCAAAGAATGGCAGTAGCTGTGGAGATGCTCGAGCCACAGTTGGCGGTGGACTGTCAGGCCAGTTTTCCGCCATCTGCGCTTGAGCAGTCGGGTTTGGGTTTTTAGGCGGCAGAGATGGTTGTAGTACCAGGGGGATCGGGTGGGTTTGGAGATGGTCCTGGATTTTAGGGGGATGAGGGAGTTGAAGGTGGAGAAGAGGCGATCATGGAGCAGCTGGACAGCTGCTTCAGGATCTCCATGGGTGGAAGGCCAGAGGGATAGGATGTTTGATTTTGTGAGGGTCTCAGTGGGTAGCCTTTTCCAAGGGCAGTAGAGGATGGTTGAGGGCTTGGTGGAGGAGAGAGGGATGTGAGAGGAGAAGGAGATGAGGAAGTGGTCCAAGATGGCCTTGTCCACTATGCTGAGGTCGGAAATGTCAAGGCCGTGGGTGATAACGAGGTCAAGGGCATGACCATGGTTGTGGGTGGGTGAGTTTATATGAAGGGTGAGGCTTAGGGAGGAGAGGAGGGCAGTGAAGTCGGCAGAAGTAGTGCAGAGGGAGTTTAGGTGGAGTTTGAAATCGCCCATTATGAGCAGGCGCTTGGAGCAAAGGGACAGGGAAGAGAGGAGAGTAGAGATGTCTGTGTGGAACGAGCCGGGGGCTTTGGGAGGTGGTAGACAAAGAGGATTTTCAATGGGTGAGAGGGATGGAAGAGGGTGAGGTGCTCAAAGGAGGGGAAGCAGCCAGAGGAGTAGGGGGTAAGACCAAGGGAGGCTTTGGAAATGAAGACCACCCTGCTGCTACGTTGGTTTGGACGGGAGGTGTGGTGGAAGGTGTAGCCTGGAGGTGAGGCTTCCACTAGGGGGATGGGGTCATTGGGGGAGAGCCAGGTTTCGGTGAACCCAAGAACGTCAAGGTGCTCGCCAGGATGAGGTCGTGGATGGTGAGGGCTTTATTTGAGAGGGAACGGATGTTTTGGAGGGAAATGCGGGTGGGTTTGCTGGAGGGAGGGGAGGGAGGAGAGAGTGATGCGGAGAGGATTTTGGGGTGTACCACAGGAGAGATGGTTGTGGAGAGTGATGTGAGTGGAGAGTTGGGGATGGTACTTATGAGGGAGGGGGAAGTTGGGTTTGCCTTAAGAAGGCGGTTTGAGCGGAGGGAGTGAATGATTGGACACTTGGATTTGCTGCTCTGGGACAGCCAGTACCGGGAGCCACGATGGGCCTGGTGGAGGATGCCCAGGCTGGAGCAGAGGGAAGTGGTGACGGGGTCGAGGAGAGAGAGAAGGCGGGGAGGGCGGTGGGAGAGAAGGACAGAGGACAGCCTTGGAAGCGAGAGGATTTGGGTTTGATTCCCAGCAGGGCAAACGTTGGCATGCTTCCTTACTCCACGTGCCTCTGTTTACCTAACAGTAAGTAGGAACCCGATTGTTAATCGATTGGTGAATTGCATTTCGGGAGTAATAATACCTTAAAAAAAATAATTTGGTCACTCAATCCACGACTGTTTGTGGTCACTGCAGTGCGTAATTGGCTGCTGTGTTTCGCCCACAACACATCCAGTCACTGCCCTTTACAGTATATTTTGTGAAGTGCTTTGAGGACGCAATAAGACGCACTAAGGTGGTATATCAAATGCAAGATTATTATTATGAAATGCCCTTTCCTCCTATTTATTCCCCTTTGTGGCAAGGTCCATTAAATTGTTTTTATTTGAAATGTTGCTGTAAATTCCGAAAGTTCTGGTTTCTTAATTGGTGCGCTGTGACTTTCTCATGATTTAGTGACATTTTAGGTAGTACGAAAACTGATTTTTCTTCAGAGCACGCAAAATTCAATTTATTTAGTAATTTAATATTCTGCGGTTCAGCATTTTTCAACATTAAATTTCATTCTTTCAGATTTGTGATTGACAATTGTGTGCTTAATCTTACAATTAGCTTATATCAGATATTTCCCAGAGTTTACTGTTAACTGACTTTGGGAATTGGCAAATAGCAAAGAGATCTATTTAAATGAATACATTGAAAGATTCAAGGCCTTGTCAGTCTTAGATTTACATAGCAGATGATCGTGTCTGGACTGGTGTTAGCTTCCCCACTGGAGCTGTAATTCTATTATAGATTGGCAGGTTACCTTTTTCAATGTTATATTGCCCAAGTTAGTTGCTGTATTGAGTGACCAAATTATTAAACAGTCGTGGATTGAGTGACCAAATTATTATATTTATTTTGAAGGGTTTATTACCCCTGGAAAAGCGATCCACCAATCGACTAACAACCAGGTTTCTACTTATTCTTAGGTAAACAAGGATGTTTAGAGTAAGGAAACTTGCCCAACGTTTCGCTCTGCCCATGAATCGAATCCAGGCCCTTTCACTTGCTCGGCCAGTGCTCTACCCACTAAGTTACAGGACTCCACAAATCCTTTCCCTCTTCCAATCTTTTTCCTCGAGTTGTAACCCTCTGGACTGTTATTTTGCATCCATTGATATCTCATCCAAGTGCCCTTTCAACCATATGGGGCAACACCGCTAAGCTCAGTTATCTCCCACTGCGCAGAGACTCATCTTCCAGCAGGCGT